CCCCATATTGATGGGGGGGGGGGGCATCTGGTTCATTCGCAATTGCAGACAAAAACAATTTTTTCTATATGAGAATGGAATTTGACAGCTTTTAATTACAGTCAAGTGTTATTTGAATTCACATATCTATTGTAAGCTTATACATTGTAGATGCAAAATTTTATTTTGTCCATATGGGCTTTTCCCTGACAATTCTGAGCTAGTTCAAATTATTTAAGCATTTCTTATTAATATTTCTGCAACTTTTTAAGTTTTCAACATTTATTTCAAAATATGTTTTTTCATTCTTAATCTTAGCTATACACTAGCCTATCCATGATCAGTATTAAGACAGCAGGCTAGACAGGTTTTAAGTATGTTGTTATGTAAAATGAATGATTTTATTAGAATTACACTTATAGATGCAGTGACCTTGTTGCTTTCTCATTAATCTCCCTTGATTAGATATTAAGGCATTTTTCTAGTGAAATCGACCGGTCCATATCCTTAATCAGTGTCGAAAAAACCTGACTGACTGCCACATTTTATGTCAGTGTGATCAAAATACCTTTTGTGGCTCTCATACACCACTTCTCTACACGGATGGGACGTTTTTGGGGGGTTCATTTGATCTCTGTTCGTCCCAACCGCGAGCAAATTGCAAGGTAAATCGTGCGCATGGCTTTGTTTTCAAATGCTATGACCTGGCACTTGACCCCCAGAATTTTTGACCGCAACCCCGCAAGCGAGGCCGCTGATTGGCCAAGTTTTAAATAGATGCGCAGGATCCAACTCACATCTACGCAAATATGGCTCCGCACTATAAAGAAATAAGTCATCGATTTATAGCCTATTTCGAGCTTGAACTATTAAATTGGCAAATTTTATTGGAGAACTTTGTTGACATATTGATTGCACGATTATTGATAGTCCGATTTGTAGACCGGTTTAGCGGGAGCGAAGGTGACAAGATTTTCACCCCGCGAATTCGGCCTATAACTGACAACCCGTCGGCTTATTGTCTGCCAGATTGACTTGGGGAGCGGTTGTTGTTTCTTGATGATATTATTAGACGGTTTGGGGAACATTGAGGGATGTAAACGTATAATAGACTCTGCAATTAAATGGCGGAAAAAGAAGTTGGCAGAAAAAAATTCAAGAATTTACTTAGGCCTCAATATATATGCTAAATGGACAGTAAGTAATGACAAATACATTCTGAAAAATGGGCTCTCCCTCAATCAAATAAGGTGACAAACATGTCTTCTAAATATAGATTTTTTTATAGCTTGGTTTATCTCCTCGCGAATACAAAGTTTAATTAGTTTGAATATGTTGTTAGTCCAAATATATCATGAAGTCACAGAGTTTGTACGCGGGAAGGTAATTTTAAAGTGGCATTATGTGAGATTTAGATAAGGAGCTGACAGTTCTCGCTATAATAGTTAATATAATAGATAATGAAAAGGGAATATGTTGAAAATTTCAGTCAAATTACTTCAGTCAGTTATCGGCGATAGAAGAACAGTGTAGTCTCGATTGTAATTGATGATACCGTTGTTAAGATAATAAACAACATCTCGATTATCAAATTTTAGATTAAATCATTTTGACAGTTTTAACTGTCAATCGCATTTGAATCTGGTGAAAATCTCGTGCTGTGACTGGCATATTTTTAATAGAAGATCCAGTATTAGTCTTTGCGGCAAAAGGGGTCTCTACCGATAATGTCCCTGACTGGCGGGAATATTCGGGTGTCTGTTTAAAATCAAAATAGCCTTCTATGATAATTTTGACGTAGAGTCAGATGGTTTAACGTCCCCGTCCACAGTAGTGATATCGCAGACAACGTGTACGAGTCAAGCCGTTTGAGATTATTTGGTAGTTTGTGTGGTTCCTCGCACGTTTGGGTAGGCGGATGAAGGTGGAGGAAAACTTAACAAAAGATGGAATTACGAAAGGAAACATGAATTGTATTATGAATCGTATTTTATTGTCAGTTATAATGTTTGTTATGTTTTATTGACAAAGGCGATCATCGTTTTCAATAATGGAATGAATGCAACCATGTTGGCTTATAATCATTAGATAAAAATGAACTGGTCAGAATTGTGACGATGGTTGGATTCAACCGTTGTATATTTCAACGGTCTTTAATTCCCTAGGAAGTGTTAAAGCTACGGCAAGCCAGTTTATTCACAGGTATATCTAAGGTCACAATTATGTAATTATTTCAACGTCCAGAGTCTATGAAAAAAAAAATGTGCTGGCCAATACGAAAAATAAATGAAATGGGGTTTAACGTCCTACTGTTCTGCTCCTATACTGGGCTAATGAAGACGGGCATACGCCATACAGTGTGCTATGAGGAAAATTTTGCCCGGGCAGCGGCACTATCGCCTACTCTTATATCGAATTCCAACTGCCAGGGGATCTTTTACGTGCATTCTAATATATACACGGGACCTCGGTTTTTCGTCTCATCCTACGGACTAGACAGCTGTCCTTGTCAGGCCCCCAGTCCTGCATCACTGACAAGGGGAAACCACGCCGAAAAATCTGGATGAACTTTCTCGGCCAATGCAGGGATCGAACACCCGACCTTCAGGCTAGCGAGCCAGCGCCTTACCCACTTAGCCACGTGATCCCCACGAAAAATAAAGCAGTATTGTTATTATTCAATTTGTCAAAGACACCTACAATTTGTGGTATGGAATCAGTAAATGTAAACTTAAATGGTGCAAACTAAACTTGAATAATGGTTGAAGCACAATTATTATTATTTTTTTTATTTAAAATGCTTTTGATTTTTTATTGTGTTTGGTCTTAAACTTTTTCTGACATGCTGGCTTGCTTAGTACGATGGGTGTCATCAGATGTGCAATACCATTTTCTGGATCCCCCAGTTACTATAAAGTTCTTGTTCGCTAAATAAAGTTGATTTTGTGAAATACGACAGCTTCCAAATAGATATAACCGTAGAACTTTAATTATCTACATTATAATAACATACACAATGATACTGTTCACAAATTGGGTTATTTCGTTCGAAGACATAAGAAACCGATTTTTTGGCGGTTTTTTTATAAGCAAATTTGAAACAAATTATTTGTTCTGTGTATGTAGATAAAACTATAGAATATCATTAAATAACAATTTCAAACTTTTTCAGGGAAAAGAAAGAAGAAAGGAATTATATCAGTTAAGCTTGTTATTTTTAAACTGTGGCGGTGCCATTTAAAGCAAACCACCTAACTATATTAACAGACATGTAACAGTTTTTACACTAGAAATATGGCCAAAAGGTGTTAATATTTTGAGTGGCCATTAAAAGTAATAATAAGCAATATAAAAGAACGACAACTCAACCAATTAGGTTATTATTGTATTTGTTAATAGAGTGAAAAGGGGGTTAAATGTTAAGTAAACTCAACCGGGGACCAAGGTTCAAATTAAAAAGCTGAATGTATGTATCAAGCAGCGTTGCTATCTTTCCATACTCTGCTCCCCTGCTGAATACACTAACAAACCTCTTTACGGCTAGTTTTACATTTCTAACACCAACATAGTATTGGGATAGTCTCACACAGTTTTTACCTAAACTTGACTTGCCACTGCAGAAAAAGGGCTTGTGTACAAGCTAACACATTTTCAATGCAAATATAGTGTTGTAAATATCCTCGATGGAAATATCTTAAAAACTACCCATTCGGAATCCTTTGTCTTTAAATTCGTCTTTGGTCTTGTCCGGACTTTAGAAGAGAAAGAACATAATTAGTTACCCGAATATATCCATAACTTTGATTTGAATATCACTAATTTATTTTAGTATCTCTTCAACAAACCAGACTAATCCGATTCTACCAACTTATTCGTCAAATTACAAAAGTATTAGAACCAGGATAACTTCAGTATGGCCTAGTTGTTTCTATGACTGAATTTGTTTCAGGACATGAATACTCGCGTGCCATTTATGCATTGGAACTAGGGAATAGACGAAAGATGATGACGAAATTAAGCTCCAGGGCATCCCATTCTGTAATAAGTCTAAGTGTTAATTAAGGGAAACTGCTCATAGAAGTAGAAAGGTGGCCAAACGGAAGATATCTACGTGTTTAATATGAAGGAATTTGTAGTTACTACAGTAATAATACCATTTAAACAATTAGCTATTTGACGTTAACATATTTATATACAAACCAGCTATATACATACACACGTAAATCTCTCTATCTATTTAGAAATTCTTAGTCACGTGGTTTACAAAACACAAACATAAACCAATGACTTGTTCATGTTTGCCCCTTAGCACGTGCTACGATAGTAACCCCTCCCTTCGGGCTTTATGTCCTTAGATTTTAGTCGACTCTTACAATCGAAGACCTTTTGATCTTAAAGATGATTGGTAAATATAGAAAACTGTCAAAAGATCTTTAAGCGGGATGGGAGGGGGCAATGATGACAATGGCCAATTATCCCCTCACCCCGTGTATTTTAGGCGCGTGCTGAAGAGGAATAAGTTGAAACGAGTTCGAGGCTGAGAACGTCATTAGCAGCAGACGATAAGTTACGTCAAGATCAACCAGGTTGAAAATCGAGGTTTTCTCACGAGTCCCGCCTGCCGGGGATTAGCGCCTAATAATCAGTCGGGGTAACTGGAACAAATACATCTTGTCAAATAAGCTAAGAGGTTAGCATAAATCTGCCATCTTTAAAGCTGATCAGTTGACCAGATAGAAGCCATCGCCTGTTATTAGTTTCGTATCCTAGAATATTATCATATCTATTGTAACGGAATAACTAGTTATCATGTGAACTGGTAATATAGACTATTAGTTAAATTATTATTTTGTTATTCCTTAAACGTTTTTCATAGACTTTTCTTAGGGGGACTAATTTAAGATTATGGTGTATTAATTGCTGTGGACATCTATGAAGTGCTAACTAGAGGTTTGTGTTCTAAGATAAAAGTTTTTGACAACTTTAGTTCTTAGAAATATATTCCTTGGTCATCTATCAAAATGAACGGACTTTTAAGTTCCGCAACTCAACAAATGACTTCTTTCCAAAACCAGTTCTCGGGCGCTGGTCATTTTGGACAAATGTACACTCAACAGAGACCTTCATTTGCTATTCAAGAAATTTTAGGACTTAATACATCTTGTCGGCAAAATCCGAGTCCAGAAGTTGTAGATCATTCTCCGATGCCGCCTTCCAGTTTTCCAGGAGTGTATTTTCCTGGATTTAATGCCGGGGGCTTGCCTTCCGACCCATCTGGAACGACTTTTCTCAGGGAACAACAACCAACAAATCCTTCACCGTTTTGTCCGTGGAGGTTTGATTTATCTCAAAGTGCTCCTCAAAATATTCCCCAATCCCGTTTCCCTTGTCACGTTACTAGACCAACAGAAGATGTTAATTTCAACTTTAAACATAATAATTTAGAAGAAGGTGAGTGGTTAATTGGCATGTCTAATTTTATTCTTTGCTTGTTTAGTTTCATTTTCAAATTATCTGGCTATTTTCTTGCGTTATTTTTTGTGTAAACATGATAGACGGGTGGGTAGAATTAACAATAGTCATTTTATGATATATTTGTTTATTATTTGTGTTAAATATGGAACCTTTGCTCTCTAAATGAAAAGTTTCGAACAATTCGTATATGTGATTTACTCACAGGGATCCAGTGAATACTTATTATTTTCTAAATAAAAGAATATTATTTAATGGCTGGCCCGCAAAGCAAGAACCATTTTTCTCAAGAAATATTATGAAACTTGAGAATTTGTTATTTTCTGTTACTTATAAACAATAATTTTCATTTTCTAATAGAGATGAAAAGGTTTTTTTTTAATTCTTAATTAAAATCGGATGGTTAAATTGAATGTATGTTGATTACATTTTGAAATAAGAATTCACACATTTTCGAATTTTGTAATCATTTTGTATTAAGATATTGTTTCTTTTATTGTGGGATTCTTTGATTTAATGTTTTTTCTTCTCTGAAATTTCACAATAAAATTTGGCAAAGGAAAAGCATGGACCTTATTATACTACAAGTCCATGGAAAAAGTACATAACATGTGCATTTATTAAGTTGGATTCTTCCTAAAATGCGTGGTGGTCTTATTACGCCTATTAAGTTTCATAACAGCTGAATTTACCTAGTCTAAACTTGACCGTGTACGACCCAAAATTAAAACAAAATTGAAATGGTGGGGTTTTACACTAAAAATTTGTTTGAAAACTTGTGTCTGCGATAAAATCAGATAGTGGGGTTTCATTTAATTTTGTAGAGTGCTACGATTATTTATTCTATGATAGAATGATAATGGCCAGCTTTGAACTGCACAAAACTTCTTTGTTGTTTCTTGTCGTAATACATTCCTACAAGAAAAGTTGCTGTTTAAGAATATTAAAGATAACCAACCCAACCCAGCTCAATAATCAGCTGTAAGAATATATTGTTGTCTTTTTTCTTAAATTTTTAAAATATGTCTTAAAACATATCGTATGGTATATTAATAGTCCTTTAATTCATAGATTTTAATATTTTTTCTGGTGTTAAGAATTTTAATTTCGTTCCGCCAGTAGTTTACATTCTCTTCTCAATTACAAAACTATTAAACGAATCATTTATCTTCTAAATATAATAAAGAAATCAAAATTTTAAAATTTGACACAACCATTCGATACATTTTTTGAAAATTTTATACATGTGTGTAAGATGACCCAATTCTTCAATTTAAACTCTTACTGTTTGGGTTTTGTTCAATTTCCATTCGCCTAATTTATGATTTGGTTATTCTTATTTTTGAATTTTGCTTTTGTGGTCGTTTTATTTGATGACCAACAACTGCTGTTAAATAACAAATTCTAATCAAATTTATATTTCTCTTTATTATTCATTTTTATACATTTCGTTTTATCTACATGTTTTGTCCCTACAACAAATCCGTTAAATGACGAAAGAGCCTTTTCATACATTGTGACGAATTTTCTCTTCTTATATTATTGTTCAATTAAAAGTGAAATATTCTAATTTATAACAAACAGACAATGGCTTTTTAATAAAAAAGCATTTTATTTTTTTATTGTTTGAACAAACATATAAATTATATGCGCACGTGTAATGATGAACTACATAGAAAGAGAGGTTAGAGACTTGGGTAACATATTGTCTTTGATGTATCGTATTACCTATGTTTAAAGCAATCTATCTCATCAGGTAAACAGGTATTCTGTAGGTTAACTAGATAATAATACATAGTTCATGTCATAAAAAAACAAAAATGAAAAATCTTAACCATTCATTATGAGCTTTTAAATAAGTCTTAAATCTCGAAAAGATCGTCGTTTATGCCATGACATGACAAGTTGCCTTATGAGGTAGTAATTAGGGAATTAAGGACGAGCGTTCTACGTCTAGGCAATGTATGACTATGATGTATTGAACAAGGCATCTGATGAATAGCTTTCATTCAATAATTACCTTTGTTAGTGAGTCTAATATCTGTTTGAAATGGGCAAAACGTCACAAACTTTTACTGGTTATTGATTTGGCAAGGGTCACGTACATGTACCAGCCGAATTTGCCCCGTTTCCTTTATTCACCTTTCTAAAATTGACAATACATCTGACATTTTAGGTCATCGCTCTTGACCTGTCTTTATGATAACAATATGTTTTGATGAATAATCATCATCATCATTAATAATGAAATATCGAATGGCAGCTCATAATTTATGTTAATTAATCATTTAGTTATGAACTATCTAATTAAATATCCAAATATTCGTATATAAAAGCAATGGATTAAACATTACTCGTATGTAAAGAAAACCAAACATTATTCATAAATGCAAAAGCAAACTAAACAAGTAAAAGTTATATATATCTTTTCTCAAAATCTTCTCTTTTTTTTTAACCGCTTCATTTTAAATCCTAAAAAAGGGTGGAGGCATCATAAGAAGATAAATGTAATGATTTGAATAGTTGAAAAATAATTTGAAATGGATCAACAGAGAAATTCAAAGTACAAATTTGATAAGTAATACTGTTAGTGTTTATATCGTAGCAAACGACGCTTCTCTGGTGTATATTGATGAATGATCGTCTTTAACGGCGGCTATCATTGTAGGCCTACAGTTTTATCACTTGCATTAGAATATAATTACGTTAAAATGGTTTTAATCAAACCAATATGATTATCGTCTTTAATTTCTTACAGTGTAACTATTGGGATATGATATTATCGGTTTCACCAAACTAACTGTGTTTAAATTATTAACTATCATTTGTAATATTCTCCAACACTAATCAACTATCACATTCTCGTCTGAATTTCTTTGTTACAAATTATTTAATTACCTTACTACGTTATCTTTTATAATATTCTTAATAACAACTTCCTAACTATTCTTGTATTATGACACTAAACTATTTTCAATTAAATTATTACATTACTGCGCATAATATTCTCACATAATATAGATATATTTTCAAAATGGTCTTTCCTTTTTTACCCGCTTCACGCTAAATCCTAACAAAAATCAATTTTCGAAAATTTGGGTTGAATAAATGTAATAATTTGAAGATTTAATATCCTGTTCCTGGTTGCATAAAACATTATATTAATAATCACTTATTTCTGGATGTAAAATTGCTTATCCTTTCTGTTGAATTTTCTTATATTTATTTCTTTGTAAATCAAATTGGGGAATCTCTTGATAGTAAATAACTGGTGTAATTTAGATTTCTTCTTTGACGTTAGACTATAGAACCATTGATAAACGTTGTTGATATATTTAGTGCTGTATACAAAAGACATTGTTTATTTTTTTACACTTGCGATGGAAATAAAATAGCGCAAACTATTTTCAAGAAATACTTGACAGAGTTAACACGTGTCTCGTGATGCTTTGATCATTTTCTATTGTTTTAGCATCTTATTTGTTTATTTATCTTTTCTTTAAGCCCATCTAATTGGGTTTCATTTCTTTTAAAATCGCGAAGGCAACACTTAGGACAAGAGTCGCGGGTTAATCAGTTAATTTAAAGTTATTTAATCCCACTTAACTTTTGGAGAAGAACAATTAAAGGGTCTTGATTAATCTGGTCAAACAAGTTAAGAAGTGTGAAAGAGAACGATGTTGTTGTTGCTTGTTTATTTATTGTTTACATTAGGTAAGTTAAGAAGGATGTGATACTTTATGAAACAGGTACCAATATTGTATTGTTTGGTTTCGTTACTTGCGAATCTATAATGGTTTTTTTTCTAATTGTACTATGTTAAAATATCTTAATTGGTCTGATTTTCAACCTGGTTAATACGCGAGAGCTTTAACATTACCATGGAATATATTATCTGAAAAAATATTGTCTGATACATTACCATAAATTCACAAAAAGTTTAAGAACTATATTTTAATTATCATCCTAGTTATTACGCGAATTTTCATGTGTGTTCATTTTGAGCGGCATTGTCAGTAATTATTGGTTGATCAATCATCTTCTCAAATTGCACCAACCTTGTGATATATAAGCATAGAAATATTACATAGATATGCAAAAATCATAAAGTTATAATGTATTTTTGAGCGTATTTTTTCGCCAGATATTCTGTAAAGACCTAGAATTGTGAATATTTTATCCTCAGACTAATTGTTACAATAACAGATACCTATATTCCAGCATTGATTTACTAGAACATAAATACACCTGCACTAAACATACAGTACGTTAACTGTTCAAATAGATATATATATGTGGAAAACATTAAATAGATCACATAGAAATACAAAATTTATATACTAAAAATATCAAATGTAAACATTAAGCTAAAGGGACACAAATGAATTTATAGAAATATGCAACAAGTTTTCTATGCGAAATTATACTTATATAATTATCTACTGACAATATCAGAAACATAGCTAAAATATATTTTTTTCGCAATAATATACATGTAATGGAACAGATAACAAACATACATGGACGACTCAAAAGTATACTTTCATGAATTTAAAAATCTAACAAGCTGTGTGTAGATACGATTTGCATTCGTAAAAACACGCAGAATTTAAAATATTCGATCGGAGCAAAATATAACTATATGATAACATATATATATATCAGGATCGAAAAATGTCCGCCCAGTCTAAAATAGTAAAATATCTGCAGCGAGAAAATTATGACATAATATTTATAATGATTTATGATTATTTTAAAATGAGTTTTACTCAAGAAGTAAGGCTAGTTCAAATACTCTCTTCAGTATTTAATCATTTGAAACGGGGATTTGCCAAGGTGTTTGATTTAAACCTTGGGTTTTGAAAAGGATTTATGGGTTTTGTACCAGATAATGTAATAATTGTGCATTTATTAAAGTTTAAATATATGGTATTTATATGTATATTCCATATTTCATGAATGTGCGCGGAAAATGATAA